GTAAGAAAGCTATTATTTTTTTTAACTGGTTCGAAGGAATGATGGTTTTGTGTTGTAACTATTAACTGTTTTTGCAAAATTTCTTGATATCGGAATAAATTTGTGGCTAATATTTTTAAAGGATTAATAAGCCAGCAAAATACAGATTTTCTAATCCATGCAGATCTTGTATATTTAAAAAGAATATTCGAATGATATGCAAGTGTAGTTGTATCAAATCGCTCTCTTTTTTTTTTTAAACGAACAATATCAAAGCGTCCAATAAACTGTTCCATTTCAGCAGGAACATTACAACTTCGGCTTTTTAACTTCTCTGAATCACATTTATCTATATACCATAATGCAGCAGCCAAATCTTTAACAAATTCTTTTCCAGTTGTTATTGCAGTATCTCTACTCCATCCACCATTATTTTCACGAATCCATTCAACAATATCATACCATAACTTTTCCAATGCGTTTGAGCGATCAGAAATAGCAAAAGTTGGTAAATGAGTTAAGCTAGTAGTATCATTCATCATTTGTGAAAAAATATTAATTGACGCTTCAGAATATAATGATACTTGGCTATTTGTTTGATAATATTGCACTCTGTTTCCCCAAGCTTCAATTGCCTCAACCATGTTACATTCCATACTAACAACATTAAAAGGTCCAGTAGTGTTAGATGAAAACTCTACTTTAACTGGTTGTAAACGGTCTTCATTATTCAACTGCACTTCATGAACAATTTTTCCCACAATAAGGTCTTCATAAAACTGCCTTACTGTAATATTTTCAGGTACGGGAACACCAATCCAGTTTACTTTTACATTATTTTCTGCTTTAATTCGCACAGATACAACAGGCATTTTGATTTTAAAAATTAATAAACTCAATGCTTTTGTATATTTAAATTGACGAAGTATTAATTGATAGGAAACATATTTTAAGTGGTAATATACTGACACTTTCATATGAAAGTGCATATGCTAGAAATATTAATAGTAATGCGAACTACGTAAATTGACAACAATGATGATATAAAAAGAAGATAAGTATAATTTATGTACTTCTTAATTAAGAAATTATGACACAATTGCAAATATAATACTAATAAAAACATAGCGATAGTACTATAGAACTATAGAACAGGTATCCTTTATTGTAAAATAACAATCCAGATTCACGCCCAATTTTCTCTTTTTTCAAATTCCTGCTATTTTCACAATAACGATAGATGCAAAATTATTTATACAGGTGGAAAGCTACTAGCTGATAATAAACATCGCTAATTGTTTAATAGCTAGCCTGCTTTATGCAGGTAAAAAACCACCACCTAATACGTACTCCGTATCACTTTTAATTATTATAATTAGCTGCATATTTCAATAAAACTTAATACCCTGCCTTATTTGG